TTTAGTAGTGACTAGTGAGAACTGAGAAGAAAGAAATATAATCAAGATGATGATGATATTTATAATTGAATAATTATAATTGTAGTAAGGTAGTAACAAGTATGAATTATGAAGTATAAATGTATGATAACTAATGAGAGGGTATTGTAAAAATAATTGTAAGAATAAATTGGAATTTATAGATGAATGAGATGATATTACCGTTAGAAAAGTTATATTACCATTATTAAAATTTAAAAAAAAAATAAATTTTTTTTTTACCCATGGCTCGCTGCAGGCACGCCTGCTGTTGGTACTTGGGGTTTAAAATTTTTTGTTTTAATTTTTTTTTCAATTTATTTTTTACGGGCCGCGAGTTAATCGCGGTCCGTGGGGATGCAACTTGTGAAGTCCTTGGGTTATACCTTCTTGGCCCGTGAACTGCCTGCACCGTCGGCCCGCGGTCCCGATTTTCACGGGCCGGTTTTCACGGTCTGGCAGGCTCGTCCATCTTAACACATCTATACATAAATTTATTTTTTCAAAATTCATTTTCAACCACATATTTTTAAATAAAATAATATTACACACAACTTCAAAATTTTTCCTTATTTTTTAACCACATATTTTCCATCAAATCACTATTTAAAATACATTATCCACTCAATAATGTGCATCAAATCGGGTCTTAATCTTTTTTTTTTTGGGGTAAATTGCACCCGGTTTCCTGAACTATGAAGATTGTGATGATAGAGTACTATATCTTTGATTTCTATTAGTCTAATCCTAAATCTTACAAGCGTCATCGACTGAGATCTTTTCATGATGGAAACGTTGATTTGATTGTTGAAAGGTCAATTTTTGAATAAAATTACCATTTTCCAGTTTTAGTTAAAAGTTAAAACTAATAAATTGAGATAAATGTAGCAATTGGGATAAATTAAATGATCTTTTATGTGATGTGTTCAAATATTTCTGTTCATATTTTGCTATTTTCTAATCCTCTGTTTGAGCTCCATTTTTTTGTCTAAAATACATTTTGGAATAGTATTTTAATAGAGAATATGTGATTAAAAAATAAAGAAAAAAATTAGAATTTGCGTTTAACATTATTTTATTGAAGAATGAGTGGTTGAAAATAAGAGAGAAAAAATATATTTTGAAAATAATGAGACCAAGCAAATGTTGCTTTCCTTTCTTTTATTTTCTTATGTCTAATGTCTTAAATCACCGGTTAATCACACACAAAGATTAGAACTTTAGGTGTTAATCACTTATTTTTTAATAAAATTGTGTCACCTTTGTGATTTTTTCTGTTTTAGTTAACAATGGGACCCATTATCTATAAATCACTATATGTTTTCTTTTTCTTTTTTTACATCAATATTGTTCGTATGTCTTGTTTTTTGTGTTAAGATCGATTGTTCGGCATTTGTGCCTCTTTGATTTTAGTATATTACCAAGTTCTGAGCTCCTTGCAAATGCAAATATTGAATTTTATGATGAGACTTCCGAAACAAATGCTTCAATGATCAAAGAAGAAGGAGGATCACGAAATCAGAATTCGATTAATTGCACTAATAGGCAAGTTCTCAAGGGTTTTATGTATGACTTGCCCTGAGAATTTCGTTTCCACCTATTAGGCAAGAAAGACGAGTACTTGGACAAATATTCATTCTAAGGCACCTAAATACGCCTGTTGATAAAGTATGTGGAATAGAATAGAATATTGGCTGACATTAGATCTTTTGAATTGAGAATTTGCTGAGATTTTGAGTAAAAAATGTTCAATATGAGTTAGGACTTAGAGTGAAAATGATTCCTTAAATCAAATTAGGTAAATATTGGGATCCCGGATACTAGAAATCAGAAGCGTGGGGCCTCATTGTCACAACCTTCAAATATTCAGGACCAAAAGTGCAATTTACCATTTTATTTTTGAACGTGTATAGATTATTAAAATTGATTCATTGTTGGAGAGCTATATAATACACATGCTATCGAAAAATTAAGATCTACATTATTTTCTAGGGATAGAAGTTAATCAAGGCGTTACTAGACGTTATCTGAATATAAATATGAAGACAACCAGTTGAAGAGATTCAAAATAAAAATATGCAGACCTTGCCCCATTGCAATTGTTACTGGGAAATATATTCCAGCCGAAAAAAGTTAACGGAAACTCTATCTAGCAATATATAAAGGTAACATAGAGGATTTATAGTACTTGATTCGTACAAGATTGGACAATTCTTGAAATTTTTTAAAAACATGTTCTACAATGGTTTGGTTTGGGTTTTAAAATTTAATGGTGGTTAGAAACCAAGTTGGAACATTTAAAAATTAGAAAAAAGAAAAAAAAACTGCCAAAAATTGAAGTGGTAATTTACAATTTTGGCATCTAAAATAATATATTTACAAATATGAGTAATTTTGTAAATTGCCCATTACCAACTACCAAAATTCGTCCAAACTTCAGAACCGCCAACCAATCTATATGACATATACCGAGTCAAAACCCTCTTCATCTCCGGTCGTCATGTCCAAAACACTCAGAACAAGAAAAGCTCCAAAAACGACCAACTTCCATTCTCTCAAGTTACCACACTGACTGACATCAGTGGGCTTATTGAGATTTTTCTTTGATTTTATTAGTATTTAAATTCATGATAAAGTGAACAATAAAATATAAGACCAAATCACAGTTTTAAATTTGGACATAGACATGAACATGCAAAGTATAATTGTAACCACTAATTGGGTGGACCGTGTTAAATATATTAGGTTTGTATTGAGGGTATATTAGTCAGTTTATTTCTCTGCTTGGGCTATTTAAAGTTTATTTTCTTTGTATTTTCATTCATTCAGTTTATCAGAAAAACCCTAACCTCATTTTGTTTTTCTCTCAATATTTTTATATTATTAATTTAACATGGTATTTGAGCCACCATCTCAAGAAGTTTTAGTAATAAATGATTGAAAAGTTTTGATGTGATTTGGGTGGAGAGTATACCTCTAATACCATTTCTGGTTTATTTGTTTTTGATGGAACTATTCACCAAACTGCTTGTACAGACACTCCTGAACAAAATGGTGTCGTCGAAAGAAAACATAGACATCTTGTTGAGACAACCCATTCTCTTTTGTTGTCTACTTCTACTCCTAGTGAATTCTGGAGAGAAGTTATTCTTACTGTTGCTCATTGATAGCCTAAGAATCATTAACCAAGAAGGGGGTGAATTAGTTTTTCAAACTTTTTCAATCGAGTAAAGATTAAATAGATTAATTCAAATAGTATGTACAAATATAAAAACGATAAGTAAAAGGGAGAGATGATGTAAATGATATAATTGTGGAGGTTCGATCCAAAGAAATGATCTATATCCTCCGTTACCAAACTCTCCGACACGAGTAAGACATTTTTCACTTGTGGTGCAATCTAACTATTTACAAAGCTTTAGGTGACTTACAAGCAAAGAGAATGGATCTGTTTACAACGTTGAGCTTTCTGGGATCTCAACACGACCCACACCATTGAGATTTACGGGACCTTAATATGACTCACACAGTAACTTACAACAATGAACACCGATCATTATATAATGTTCATTAAGGGACTTCAGCACAACTCATACTTTATCAAAGTGATTTTACAATGAAATTTATCTCTTGATAAATAATACAAACAAATTAAGTACTAAGAAAAACTAACACTTCAATGAATATGATGATTTTTCAAGTTTGATTAAATCAATCAAAATTTTAAATATGAAGAAGTATAAATGTTTATGAAAAATAAGTATAAAGATCTTCTTTAAAAATATATCACTCTTTAAAAATTGATA